CACACTAGGGTCAAATGACCATACATGGAGTGATGGGAGGCAGATCTGGGGAAATCATTCCACCTCGATAGCTGGCATTCAGCTTTCTTATTAACTAAGCAATCAGCAAAAAGCATCTCTTAATGGGAGGCATACAGTAAAATATTATTAAGATGGTATCTTGTTCCGCAGAGGTTATCTTGCATATACTCGGGGGTTGATTCCAGATGCTGGAGGTGTCAACAGGATCTCTGTAACACATATTTTGGGATTGCACACCTCTGCATGTTCTATGGCTACAAATTAGAAATATGATCAAAATGATAACCAGAGTAGAAGTGCCACTAATACTGGAATGCCTTCTGCTACACCTAATACCCAATCTGGAAGAGGAACCACACAGGGTGGTCATTATCAATTTCCTCACAGCTACCAAATCTAAAATTTTGTCATATTGAAAGAGTACAACCTTGTCATCCTTAAAAGATATTTTACACAAAGTAGAGAATGTTTACCAACATGAACTAATGGCGCACAAAGTACTAGGCACATTGAGTCAACATACCCAAATGTGGACCAGCCGGACAGATGCTAGAATCACCAATATCACTGGCACATAATAACAGGTAATCTGATAACACTTCCTGCCTTAGTAGGTGATTGGAATCCTCAATGACAGCTAGATATACAATGTGTCTGACGCTAATGCGAAGATCACGAACCATGCAGAGAATATAGTATGTTGGATTAGTTCAGAACCCAAGTTTATTTCTTATGTACTGATTCTTTCATTATTTTGTTACATATGGTTTAAAATAAAATGGCTTCTCTATATCTGGGGATGGGGCACATGCATACGCCAGTTGACGATGCATCCAAGAGCGACCTAAGTGGAATGCAACCTAAGTGGTGTATCAACCCATTATACTACTACTAACATAAGTGCCTGAAGTGAAGGGATGCAACAGTTCATTGTGCTCCATACTCATAGCGTATGACTACTGTGTTCTACAGCATCCTCATTTTATATTTTATTGTAAGAATAATGTACTAGAAGTCTTTATGCTCACTTGACGCAATGTATTGTTTCTTAATATGTATGAAAACCTCGATAGAAATGATATATTTCCTCAAAGAAAAAGTTAAGCTTTTAACATATAACCTTTTAGATATAATCCAGAAATGTGCTAGGGCACTTTACATATTCATTTGAAAGTGCTATAAATGAAAGTACATATAATGTTTTGCACAGCAGCAACCACTTGCAGTTCCTAAATGATACAGGTGCCTATTTTAATCCTTATATTTAATGTATGAACATTTTTCAAACATGTTTGATCAAAATCGGTGAAAAAATAACACCTGTTAGTGCATAGTGTGAAATTTAATTGCTCTTTAAAAACTTATCAAAGGAAATACACTCATGGATCCCAGAGCCACTTCAACCCCCCAGTTCTGGTATATAAACTTAACATCTCTAAGGAATGTATCACTCCGTTTCTATTTCATAGGTTGATCTTTATCTATAAACCAATATATGGAGAGAACCGAAGGAGGCTCCTATAGTGTTATACCATTTGTGGATATTATTTTAGAAAAACATAAAAAACCCTTACATTTCAGTTGTAAGTACACAGCTCCAAATAAGTCCAAAACACGACCTAATTTCCATCAAAATTCAATTCCTCCTGTCCGTACATTTGCCTGAGGAGTTCCGTGACACTTGCAGGAGGCGAACTCAGAACTCCCCACACTAACGTTTTAGATATACTGATAAAAAATGTTAATGCGGAAGTTATTTTTATATTTTTATTAAATATAATTTATTTAAATATTGAAAACTTGAAAACTGTATTTCCTTTGGAATTATGACACTTTTTCATTGCAACAAATATTACTAACTCCAGTACCATTTTCTATATTTATCTTCTATGTTTCAACAATATTATGCAAAGTACATTTCCCGTTTTCATAAGGCAGTGCTTCAGCCATCAAAAAAATCTGGTGGAAAACATTTTACTCTGTCTATATATCCCCAGGTTAATATATTTTGTTTTGTTATATCTGCATCCCTATGAATATGCATTAGTTTAAATGTCCAATTATGGTTTAATTATACAACCATTATAATTGAGAAATGCTAATGACAGCAAAGATGAAAAATGTGAAGCACTGTGAAATGAATATATAATAAATGATGCAGCTTATTAAGTACCTTGCTGAAATATTGTTCTCACAGTTTTTTAATGTAACTGTTTAAGATCATCACTTCTTTAGTTTAGATGTTAACCCTTTCATAATAATAGCTTTTGTGCAAAGTAAAGACATTGTTTTGCATTTTTGCTATATGTGTACAAACTGCAATGTATACATAATATATATATATATATATATATATATATAGAGAGAGAGATATAGATATAGATAGATATAGATATAGATGAATATATCTACAGTATATCTATCTATATCTATCTATCAATCTTTCTATCTCTCTATCTATCTATCTATCTATATCTATATCTACGATTTTTATGACACTGACATATATATGATGTATATTTGACACAACTCAAACCACTCAGAAATTCCACTATTTTTTACATTTCATCTTTAATTAGCAAAATTATTTTCTCTTTGTTCTGCGAGTGACCTTCACATGCCTTCTGTTCATTCACATGTTACTAATTCTCATCTGCAAAATCACTCCTATAGAATGATCTACTTCTTACTTTAGACTTACTACTAGCCTGTAGGTTTTTAAGAAGCCACACGTCTTTAGAAATTATGAAATTGTATCAACATTTTTTTCAATGCTAATAATAATGGAATTATTTCATAGCAGTTGTATTCAGTGGCGGCTGGTGAAATTTTAAGATGGTGGGGTGCTTCCCCCCGACTTTTTGGGTTCTACCCACTTAACCCTATGAGATGCAATGCCCTGTTAAAAAACAGATTCTTCTCTAGTCTTCATTAAAGGTAAGGGCGTAAACTGCAGATATTATTATAACAGGTACTTGTCTATATTTTCTAACACCTACTCTTCCAATGCCAAGAAATTGGACATATTTTTTTATTTTTGCAAAACCTGCCACTGAGGATTTTCCAACCTGGCCCTGGGAACCAGCATCCACTGGTTTATTCACTAAATGCTAAATTGTACAAAATTGAAATTTGAATGGAAAGTTAAGCAAAAACAGGCAAACTATAACAATTTTATTGTGTATTATGTTTTTTTTTTTTTGCAATGACATCAAACATTATTTTATTTTGTACACACAATATATTTAGATATTATTTCTCAGTTTGTATATTCAACACACAGAAGCTCAAACAAGACAAAACAGGAATACTCTTAAGAGGAACAATGAGATTAAAGAGCACAAATGCTACACAAACATACATTATGTGCAAGGGACCCTCTCGATACATACATACCATGGAAAGGTAACGCATTTATTTCCATAAGTTCCAAATCTTATTAACAGCCAATTACCTGCCACTCAGAGTTTTAGATCCCTGCTACAATGTTATAATCCTTCAATAGCATGTCACTGTACTAATGTTTACAATTTATCTGAGGGTCACTTGATACTAGGTGTGCAAGTCTGAAAAGGTATAATATTTCACAAACTATAAGACTAATTTTGCTAAAGATTGATCAAACACCTTAAAATGTCAGAGGTTTCCCGCCATAAGAGGTATGTGTATTAAAATGGTGGCTATGTCAGGAAGGGATCCAATTTTAATTTATCCTATATGGAAAAAGAAGATTATGAACAGGCACAGCTGTTTGTAAAGAACTCGGATTGGCTGCCGGCTGTCCGGAGGCAGACTTCAATAGAGTTAAAAGAACGTTTTGCATGTAAGATATTGTACTGACTTGTTTTTTCGACATGTTGATTTTAAATAACCCTGAGGAAGCCTCAAATGAGACAAACATGTTGGGTTTGTCATATGTATTTTATTGATTGTTTTTATTACATATTGATGCCATTTTTTCCATCTGATGTTTGGGAAGTTCATGTGTAACTAGCACCTGCACTTTACCATTGATCCATTGACTTCAGAGATTCTGCAGATGGTATTTTTATTATCATTTATCTTGTAAGTGCGTACAATAAAGCAACTTGCTCAATATGTGACAGTGTTGCAATATATTTCTTCACTGTTTTCTCTTACATGCACTTACATGCACTTCTGGGAATTGACATCACTGCAAATATCATCAGTTTGAGATGAGCCTGTATTTTATCATACACTTGTGAGTTAGACCTTGAAATTTCACTCATTAAGTGTATTTTACATATTACCCTATTTGGACTTTGTCCTTTTATATTTTGTAGATATACCTTTTTTTATATATGTTTTACTACAGACAAAACTCAGAGGATGGGGGGCCACAAATCCAAGAGGAGGGAAGATGCAGTGGTGCAGCAGAAAGGCCTGACTTTAGCACCTGATATTTCAGCAACATAACATGGAGTAGTTGTCTGCTCTGCTAGGTTCTGCAGATAACAAGTAAGCCTTGGCATGTTTAGCCAGAAATCCCTAATGTCCCTGGGCCACTCTGAGAAGTGTGAACCAGCCGAAAACTAAGCACTGGGGGTTGAGTACTGCCCACTCTGTGTATTCCTTCTGGAAAGGACATTGTGAGCTCTCCTGATATTTTAATCCCTGATCCTTCTAAGTTCCCCCTTCAAAGGCAGCATGAACATATTCAGTAAATGCAGCAGCCACTGGGAGTGATTCCTGAGATCCTAGGATAATTGGACTGAGCCCATGTGATAATCCAAAAAGGGGCATGAAGGCTTGAAGAGTCCCATGGATCAGGTTTAGGGGATGAGGATTCCATGTTTCCCAGCTTTGGTATAACTGGAGGACTAGGGGCTGTTATTTTTTCCTCTGCTTTCAGAGGTTTGTGTTTCAGATGTCATAACAGTAGTGAGATCAGCTTGAGAATCTGAGCAAGAAGTGGGACCTAGAAGAGAATCACCAGGTGAAGAGTCATCCTGAGGAGTTTAGGGTCTAGAATCTGGTAACAGTCCAGGGGAGGAAGAAGAAAATGGAGATGGGGTGGAGGTGAGATTGTATGCAGGACACCCTGTGAACCGGTCTGGCTCAAAAGCAGATTCCAGTAGAGCCTGCGACGGGAGGAATCGGCTCACTAAACCTGCATCACAACTGCTGGTTAATGTGAATGGTGGAGTGTTGGAGTAATATACAGCAGTTTTATCTGTTTGAGCAAGTCTTTGGGAGTCTTCATTAGTATCTGCTACACCCACTGTTGTCTGTGTAGTTTGTTGCTGAACAGACACCCCAGCTGTTGGTGGTTGCTTCAGACATCCCACTGTGTCTCGTAGCCTCTGCATCTCAGCTTCCTGGTCCCCTTCACAGTCTCCAATCTGAGGAGGCTTGATCAGGAATTGCAGAGGCTCATCATCATTGTCAAAATCAGAGTCACTTGAGGATCAGCAGTGAACAGCCAAGATGGTTGCATTTTCTTCTGGGCAGATTGTAAAACCCTCATCATATACATCATGGCTCGGAGGATTCCACAGGGTGAGTGTCTTTCTCTCTCTGGCTCAAGCCTTGAATACGAAAAGGTTTTGACCATGTGCGCTTTACACCTTCTATAGACGTGGGGAGGAGAAACCCTTAAAAACTCCACAGCCTCTGGATGGTCTGTTCTGGTACAATTAGTTTCTGCAAACCTCTTGATCAGTTTTTCTATAGCTACATTTTCCATATGGTGTTTAAATTCTTGAACCTGCCCAATTTGCACATGAGTGCCTTTTACCAAATGAGAGTATGCTGTAACAAGTCACTTCATGTGTCTGAGATGAGTAGCCTCTGTGTCCTGGAATACCTGTGCAGACTGCAACATCTCTTCAAACTCCTTGCGAACAGCATTGCATTTTTCCACAGAGCAACTCAGTGACTCTGCAGCTTTACTGGTCTTTAGCTCTGCTTTGACCAATTCTTTCTGGGGTGATCCTTCCTTCCTGATCTGCTCCTGCTCAGAAAATCTACTGCAATAATTGTCTCTGGATCTGCAAAAGCTGGGAACTGCACTGCAGAGCCAGACATCCCCTCTATATATTTAAATGATTATATATGTGCATATCTATAATCTTCATATCTATATAACAAAACACATTTTCTCTAAATAATGGTCTCCCTTCTATTTTTCATGTCCACACTAACTTCTCTCATTACTAAAATATCCCTATCCTTCTGCTCACCTTTCCCTAGTAAAACCATCTTTATTACTTCCACTTTACTTCCCTCCCCTCTCTATTCATCCCATGCACTCTACATATACATTTCCAGCCTATCACCTCCAACTCTTCCCAAACCCTCTATATACATACCCTCCTACAAAACTTTCAAATCCTACGCCCACCTTCACTTCCTTTCTATCCTTCTGCTCCTAGCAGCTGATGATGTCTCTCCAAAACCCGGTCCCATCTCGGCAAACCCACCACGTACTAACTCAAGGAACCACACCAATCTCACATCCATCTCATGTTACTCTTCCTCTAAATCCTTTAAATATTGCCCTCTGGAATGCACGCTCTGTTTGGAATATTACAAAATCCACTGCTGTCCTCAACGTCTTCATCTCTCATTCCTTAGATTTACTAGCCTTAACTCTGACACTGCTATCCCTGCATCTTTATCCTTTGGTGGTCTTCAACTTACCCATAACCCAAGACACTCTGAATGTAAAGGTGGTGGTGTAGGGTTTCTCCTCTCACCTCACTGCTCCTTGAAACCTCTACCCACCTCCCTTCCCTCTCTTTCCCATCATTTGAAATTCATTCGATTCACCTTTTCAAGCCCTTCTCTGCTAACATTGCCATTATTTATTGCCCCCCTGGTTCCCCTCTCCTCTCCCTTGACCACTTTGCTGCCTGACTACACTACTTCCTCTCTTCTAATATTCCATTCCTAATTCTCAGGGATTTCAATATTCCCATTAACCAACCTTTGACCTCAGCAGCCTCTAAACTACTTTCAACTACTTCCTCCCTTGGGCTATCACAATGGGCTAATTCTCACACCCATGTAGCTGGCAATACCCTTGTCCTCATTTTCTGTTATGCATGTACAGTATCTAATATCTGCAACACTCCATTTCCTCTCTCTGATCACCACCTCTTATAATTTTCTCTCAAGTACCCTCTCGCCCAACAACCTCAGCCTAACCCCCCTCAACTTAGGGGGTTCTATTGACCTCCAGCAGCTGTCAGCTGATATTGATTCACAAATGCTATCCATCTCTTCCCTCTCCTGTCCCTCACTGGCCATCACCACATATAACACTACCTTCACGTCTGCCTTGAATGCTGCACCCCTGGACTAATACGACTACAAACTGTACCTCCGGTGGTGGTTGGCAGATCACTATTTGAAACTAAGATTTTCTCTAGAGGTCAGAAGGAGAGGTTGGGCTGTGCACTGCCAAGACCTAATAATACAGGGAGTTTGGACAACTTAGATTCAAGATCTTCATTTGAGTCTAATGGAATTGAGGCCTAGATAAGTTTGGCTTCAATAATGAAGGGACTTTGGGTTCTGATTAAGACCAACAACTGCACTTTAGCTTCATATAAAAATGACCAGAGAGAAACCAGGAGTAACAATCTCATCAAAGAGCTAAGATTGATAATGTTCTGGGCTCAACTACATCTTCAAGGTCTGAAGGCAGTTTACCTTCCAGGGAAAGAGAATGCATTGTCAGCAGGTTGTTTCTGAATCCAGGAGAATGGACCCAAAAGATCTAAGTTTTCTTCAAATAGTCAGAAAATGGAGAATGCCTCAAATAAATGTGATGGTTTCTTCCAATAATGAACAGGTTCCAAGATTTTTCTCTTGCAAGTTTAATCTCCAAGCAGTAGCCGAGGATTCCCTGAAACAAGTCTGGACTTTAAACTTTGGTTATGTATTTCCTCCAGTCCCTCTAATTCATTAAATTTGGAACACAAATTAAGAACATCTTAGTTAAGATTAGATCATTTATGCATCAGAGTCTAACCATGTGATGCATGTTTGGGCATGTTAGAAACTCATCAGTCCTTACATACATACATACTACATGAATACTACTATTACATACTACATGTAGAATATTGCATATTCTATGTTTCTATTGAATATATATGGATGTGTGGATTGACATAAGTAACAGATGGTCTAAGTCACATGGTTTTCTTGTATGTGAGCTCTGGAATGTAAGTTGGGGTTTTGTCCTTATTTGGCTAGAGTTATAGTCTGACGTCATTATGGTCATATCTATATAGTAACTGAACACGAGGTTTCTCGCTCTCTTGGCTCTTCTTCCTGTACAACGATGTAACTCTCCCATCAAGAGTCCAGCAATTACCATCTGCTGTTGAACGTCCATTATCCTGTAACATTATTTGTTGTTTTATAATGTATCAGTAACGAAGAATAAACCTGAAGAAACCGTAAGTCAAATTGCATATTAGTACTTTTCATTAATATAGACATATATTAATTGGCCGAGCTTTGGCCCAAGACTATATATACAAAAGACGTATATATCAATCAACCAGAAGAAAATAAGAAGATTTAACATTGACGATCGAGCCAGATTTTACACTACATAAATGAATATAATTTAAAAAAAATAGTAGGTACCCTCTCACATAGAATATTTTGAGACTTACTGTAAAGTAATTTAGTAGTACTCAGCTGTTATGAAATAGTGTACACTGCAAGTTTTTTGCTTTATTTGTGTATATACTCGCTAGGTGTTGATTGAGGGAATAAGAGTACTTTCAACTTTCAATAAATTGTGTTGATTACTGATATTCCAGACATTTAGCATTTGCGCTCTCCAACCTTATGGCAATATATTTACATAAATAAAATAAGATTCATTAACACTGTTTGATAACTAAATTATATTGAGTGTGGTATCATTCTTTATATGTTATCATTCCTAACCATATGCAACCCTAATTCCCAAACAAAAACTAAGTATCCCACCTTGTAAGCTCCCTAATATCTGCTGTCAAGTGGTACTGTGACCGGTTGCCATTGGTAAACTCCTTTGCTGATCACATATATTGATTGGCATGAGCATTGTACACAGACATGTGCCAATCACAGTTTGCACAGTGTGATCATTCAGGGTAGCATGTAGGGAGATGTGATCACATATTATTTTTCACAAGGAGACTACCAAGTGATATCATTAATAGAAGTTCAGCTAGGCCATCAATGGGCATACAGACTCACAGAGCTGTCTACAACCCTGACTGCTACAACCCTGAAAACTTTGAAAATAAAACAAACTAATAATAATTTTAACAAACAAAATAAAATTCTAACAGGTAGCCTTCAAAAGTCCAGCTAAAATAATATATTCCAATATTAGTAAATATTCAAAAGGCAACCTAATAACATAAAAATATGCATTTTCATGCTCCAGGCTCCTGAAGATAGACTAGTCCTCCCAAGTGTTTGACCTGTGATAGTGTCAATGTCCTGTGTATGATTCCCTGCTTGTTGTATGTTATGTTTTATACCCAACAGTTGGCACATCTAAATTGGAAGTGATAAATGTTTGTACATGCTTGGATACACTGTTAACGCAACTTAAAGTACAGAAACATTCTATGATACAAGTAATTTTGATCTAGATGATAAATATATATAAATAAACATACGTATATATATATTGTTTATTGATCATTGTTTCTTGCATTGTTGTTTTGTTGTCTAAAGCACTGTTGTTATATTTTTTCTTTTGGAGGAAATATTAGTTTTTTATTTTTTGCACCACACTTAATAAATCTATAGCTTGACATTAAAGGCTGTGCTAAACATTTTACTAAAATAAAGGTCCTTTATTGAACAAATGTATAATATGGCTCTGGAAAAGTATTATTTGTCCCGATGAAGCAATTTTCTTTTAGCCACATATGAGTGCCATTGTAACATTAATTAGATAATTTGGAATGCAAAAAAACATGTAAGTATTTAGCAATGAAATTCACCATGGTTTTGTATTTTCATAAGGTCACAGTATTTGAGAATAGGTATTTCATTACAACCTCCCAAACCACTAAATAAGCCATGCACTACAATGTGTCCCAATGCTGTGGTTCACTACTGATTAATTTTTCAACATCTGTGTAAGCATTTGATTAAAACATTCAGCACGACCATCTGTTTCTACATGATAATTTTGTGAATGAAGTCCTTTTTTAAACATTGCACAGCTCATTTAGCAAAGGAGAAGAATTTAAAGGAAGCTTTAGAAAACTGTACAAAGGTTATACCACTTCACAACTTAAGTGTAAATGCAATATTTCAAATAATTTTTGGTAATTGGTACACAGAAAAGCCTTTCATTGTATGTTAGAATATGCAATAAAATTTAACTAGAGGATTACAGTATTACAAATTCTGGAAGTGATTTCATTACT